CCTTCCTTCCTTCCTTCCTTCCTTCCTTCCTTCCTTCCTTCCTTCCTACTGTATACTTTATTCCCTTCCTCTTGATAACCCATCAACTTCCAGCTTCCAGCACTAAAATCAGAGATGGTATTCAGCAGGTTCTGACCAGTTCTGGAGAATCGGTAGCAGAAATTTTGAGTAGTTCAGAGAACCGACAAATACCACCTCTGACTGGAGATTTTACAGTATCCTTTCCCTGCCACGCCCACCAAGCCACACCCACAGAACCAGTAGTAAATTTTTTTGAATCCCACCACTGACTAAAATATAACCATGGCCAGCAACTATTGCTCTGTCAAATCTTAGCATAACTCAAGGCACTCAAGTGGATAGCTTCATTTACAGAAATCTTATATTCGAAAATCAGAGTCAACAGTAACTATTGGGACATCTTAGCTAGTCCTTGAACTCGTAAAAGTATTAATAGGTATCGAATTCTTCCAACAACTCAACCAGACCAAAATTTCCATCCATCCACAGCAATGATGGGATTCAAATTTTTTTACTACTGGTTCTGTGGGCATGGTGTGGCTTGGCGGGCAGGGGAAGAATACTGTAAAATCTCCATTCCCATCCCACTCCAGGGGAAGGATACTGTAAAATCCTCATTCTCTCCCCACCCCACTAACCTGCTTTCCAGCTCTGTTCTCCTATGCAGGCAACAAAAGAAGACCCAGCCAATCAGCTGGGACTCGAGAGGCAGAGAACAGATGGGGGTGGGGCCAGTCAGAGGTGGTATCCCAAACTACTCCAAATTTCCGCTACCGGTTCTCCGAACTACTCCAAATTTCTGCTACCGGTTCTCCGAACTACTCCAAATTTCCACTACCACTTCTCCAGAACTGGTCAGAACCTGCTGAATACCACCTCTGATCCACAGGAAGGAGACTTCAGGAACTTGGTGTATAAAAAGAAAACAACTTGGAAAAACAGAAAGTTGCTGTGGCAGTAGTTAGGAACCAGAACTTTGCTTAGAAGACTTTGGCACTACAAAATTCAGGTTGCAGTTAAAAAAATATGGAGGAATGAGCAGGATAAGTGTCTGCAAAAAACTTTTAGAGATTTCTGCTATATTATATATCTGGTATGTTGATATTGGGCTTTTAGGGATGGCAGCAAAAAGTTTTGAGATACTTGCAGGTTCTAAGACACATCTGTACTGATCAGAACTTTTTTGCAGTATCCCTTTGATGTTTTTGTTGCAAAGAAAAATTAAGCTTTTAAACTTGTTTGAATTTTATGTGTATGATCATATATACGGACGTGTACATATGTTGGCCAATGCCACAATAAAGCTTTACCTAAACATTACTCAAAGGATTATGTAACAGGGTGGGTTAAAATCTCAGCCAAGAAAAACTTTACAACTTTTAAATCACATATCTAGTTTTCATGCCAAAACGGCTACAGGAAACCCCACCTATGACTAGGTACAGCTATCACCATAAGAAAACACAGAGTACATCCTACTAAGGGGAATGCCAAGATATAATTTTGTTTCTTTGGCCAATTCCTCTGTGACCTAAAGGCTACATGTAAGTTCCATGGAAAATGATATTTACTGGTCTGACAGATGGTTGAAAGTTAAATCACAGCACTTGCCCTCAAATGTTTTCTTAGCATTGAGCTGATATGATTTCCCTGAGCATCTGACCTACTGGCAAAGATCAATCCAAATGCAGTATTGTTTATAATGGGAAGAAAAGTGAAATGTCAAAAGAATTATATAACTCATGTCTATACTAGATAGGACAGGGCAATAGTTAAGACCAATAATGTAATGCATTTCTGGGTTACAAGGCTTCTAACATTGTAAGTTGAAGTATTAGCTGAATGGCAATGGTGCAACCATTTCTTTCATGGATTTTGGCCAAAACAAAACCTCAGAAATTACTGATTTATGTATTTTATATTCTGCATTCAAGAGGAAACAAGAACATATGTGCATGCATGATAATATTTTGTTTTAGCATTCACATCTCTAGATCCCCAAAGTTTTCTCATTGACAAATCCTTGAAAACAGTTAACAAGGGTGATGTTGAATGTATCTCCACTGTGTTTGTTCCAGTGGTGGGATTCAATTTTTTTTTACTAACGGTTCTGTGGGCATGCCTTGGTGGACGTGGCAGGGGAAGGATACTGTAAAATCTCCATTCAGAGGTGGTATTTGCTGTTCTCTGAACTACTCAAAATTTCTGCTACCGGTTCTCCAGAACTGGTCAGAACCTGCTGAATACCACACCTCTGGTTTGTTCAGTCAGAAGCTAAATAAGCATTTGTCAAAGATGCTTTGTTTGGGTTTCTGCACTTGGTAGAGAGTGATCTAAAGCCTTTGTCTAGTTCTTGTATTCTATCTCATAGAATACAAAAGCCCTTTTTGCTGCAAAAATCAACTCCTTATGCTTACACAGTCTGTAAGTCCCCAAATTGATCACCAGTTCTACAATTAAAAGAGGAGAATCAATTCAAAGTGGCTGCTCCAACATATATGACTTCTGTGAAACACTATGTTGCATACTGTAAATTCAGTCTGAGGACTGAAATAAGTATCTGACAAACATATTTTGAGTAAGAAAAGTGAACAAGTATTGATTTCCCAAACTGAAAAAAATACTGATCGCATTGCCAAATTGTCCTTACCATATATGTTTTTTTTAAAATAGTCACTTTTCCCAACATTCTACCAGAAGCTGCCTCCGTGTACCTTATTATTTCCTGCCTGTACTCTGGGACAATAGTTTGTTGTATTCAGGAGCTGAAGATGGCATATATAGGGCTTCTTCCTTGCACTGTTATCTATAACAACTCTGCGAGATAGGTTGGGCTAAGAGAAAGAGACTGGCCCAAAGTTACTCAGAAAGCTTCTTTGACTGAGAATAAATTAGAATTTGCTACCAGTCAAGCTCCATAACCAATATACTCTGTATTTCATAGTTCTGATAACTCCCCTTGATTACGTTGTCATCAAGACATTTTCAACTCCAAATGACTCCACAGATAAATTTTCTCCATGATGATGTATCCCTAATCTGATCTTTCAGGTCTTTCAATGATGCTTTCATTACCATAGTGGATGGGTCCATCCACTTTACTGCTGGTCATTCTCTTCTTCTTTTTCCTTCCAGCTTTCCCAGCATTAGAGCCTTTTCCAGGGAACTGGATTTTTGCATAATATGTCCAAAGAGGGATTAATTGAGCCTAGTTTAGTGCTATCAATAGCCATTTCTCTTGGCCAACATATCCTAGTCATTTTCACACGAACAGGTTTCCAGTCTCTTGATGACTGTCCTTTTCTTAAATCTTCTTTGCATTTGTTCCCAACTGTATGAATCTTTTTTAGATTGGTGCACAGGACTGGGTTCTACACTTCTCTTTTTGCATCATAATTGCAAATCAGGAACAAAGGCAGCTACAAAAATATTACATTCAGCAAAGACTGTAATGCTTTACATATGGGTATTTTTCTCCTACATTTTATATCTCAGTGAAAATTATTAAGTCCTGAAGCTTGATTTGAAATTATTTCCTCCTTCTAGCCTCACAATGACAGTTGTCTTACCCAGAAAATTAAAATAGTGGTGCTATTTCTCTGCTAACATGTTGCCCATAATACTTCTGCTGCTTTCTGTCTCTTATTTGTAAGCTTATGAAGCAGACTCAGCAATGTAGCTCTATCATCAACCATTTTTACTTCAGGATTCCCCTTGACTCCTAAATATGTTAAATTGAATGGTAGTAAAGATGTCAACAACTACTTCAAATCAGAGTATCTATTGTTGTTACTGTTATTTAAAAAAGTGAGGGTGGGGTAATCATATTAGCTACAGCTCCCACTGCATTACTGATGCAGATTGATTTTAGTTATTGATTGCTGACTAATTATGTCAATATGCTACAGAACTGGTGAATGCTTTAGTCTGGATTTTTATATTTATTTAAATATTATGTATGCAGTATGTGGTTGAAAAGCAAGGTAAAAAGCCAGGTAATCATCTGAGAACACTAAAGATAATGCATGATAAGTTCTGCTGTGCATGGTTATGAACCTGTCTTTGCAACCACTAAGAATTAATTATTGTCCCCTGACAACTATAAAAACCTGCCTTGATATATTCAGATCATCTCATCTCACAGAACAAGAAATAAGAACCCTGTTGCTTTAAAAAAAAACTGTAACCAGCAAAGAATATATTTAACTTGCTTGTTTAGCATCTACTTACCAACTTCATCCTTGACATTTGCAAGCTCAGCTGAGATCTCCTTTTCTTTCACAAAGGCACTTTCATTCTGTTAAAAAACAACCAAAAACAGTCAATCAGTTCATTTATTTCCACAAAGTACTTCCACTAATTTGCTGTCTACATTCAGTTGAATAAACTGATATTAAGTCTTAATAGCTATATTATATTCACAAAGATGTGTAGTTTGTTTATAGTTTATTACATCACCTGTTTCAACCAAAGGCTCTTGCATCAAGGTTTGCCAAATCAAAGTTTCACTGTATAATTAACTAAAACAGTTGATATGTCTCAGTGCATATCACTTCTCCAAAATACTGTGTTCAATTATGTTTTTGGGGATGGTAATCAGAATTTTATATCTTTCTAGATTCTCTGGAGGAACATATGCATTTATGAATTCTCACCTTTGGTTGATATTTTGTTTGAGAGGGATAAATGCTAAAAGACTTGGATTATTGCTTAAATGGCAATGCTTAGATAAACCTTTGCATTTAGCTTTTTTGTAAATATGACTTAACTGGATTTGAAATAGCCTTTAAATTCACTTTCATCAATGGAAATACCAGTTAGGATACATCTCTAAGTAACCCAATACTTTCCTTCCTCCAACTTTAAACCACAAAAAAATTATCCCAGTGGCAAAATAAAAGATAATATAAGAAAAGACAAATAACAGAAGATTTGGATGGATTTTTTTACTCATTTTCCCAAATAAATAAAGTATTTATACTATACTATACAAATATTGAAATAGAATGAGTTACATCTCTTAGTAAAGATCAAAAGAGGGATAAAAAAAATAACTCCATTGTTTTAATGTTTGAAAGACACCTGTATCGGAACGTAACTGATATACAGAAAAACAGTGAATATTCTAACTACATGAATCTTTATTTTAAATTTTCAGATCATGAAAAGAAATGGGATAAAAGTGAGTTAACTGTAAATTTTAAAAAGCCAAATATTGAAAGAACGCTCAAACAAAATATAAGACTAAAGCAATCCTAGTAAGCGTCCTAATGATCCTTTGAGGGATCATAATAGCAATAGCACTTAACAGACTTAGATACCACTTTACAGTGCTTTACAGCCCTCTCTAAGCGGTTTACAGAGTCAGCCTATTGCCCCCAACAAGTTGGGTCCTCATTTTATCCACCTCGAAAGGATGGAAGGCTGAGTCAACCTTGAGCCTGGTGAGATTCGATCTGCCAATTTGCAGTCATCAGAAGTAGCCTGCAGTGCTGCATTCTAACCACTGCGCCACCGCAGCTCTCATAATGATACTACTGAGGTTTTCTTGATCTTCTGCCTATGTCTGCTGCTGCCTGAGGCATTCTCTCCGTAGCTCATTCTTGGATGTCATCTTATTGATACATTCCTGGATGCTTTAGATTTTGTTCAGGACAGTGGCTTTGATGCACACCAGACCCCACCACCTGCTCTGTTTTTGATGGGTGTACAGTCTCTGGGTGTTGGACTTGAGCTGAAAATGTTTGTACACTGTGATCACATCACAGATCTTCACATTGGCAACTTCCATGTTCTTCTTTGGCCAATTCACTATACCGGCAGGGTTTCTGATGACTGGTAGGAATATATGTTTATGGTGTGGAACTTGTTCTTCCCCTTGAGCTGGCTTTTCAAGGCCTGCATTACCTTTTGGTGGTACTTGGTTGTTACTGTTTACTTGCCTCCTCTTCATGGTTCTCATGTGACTGTGTAATACCAAAGTACTTGTAACTGGTCGATATGTCTGCTGTATGGCCCACTCGTGGTTCCACCCCTTCAATTTTAATTACTTTCCCTCTCTTGATTACCATCCAGTCCAAATATCATCTCAATGTCCTTACTTTTTTAAAAAATTAATTTTTTTAAGTTTCTAAATTTTAAAAAACATAAAACAAAATTTTATACATTGTTATCAACATCAAGACATCTTTTGCATTTCCTCACATTTTTCAGTATATGTATTTACTTATTCCTTTACCATTGCATCTTACTCTTACTATAAATCAATATCTTTTATCCTTACATCTCAATCTTCTCCATGGTATATTTACATATTTACATATTCCCTCATTCTTTTCCTAATTGCCATTTTATTTTATTTTTATTTCTAAACCACTCATCCCAGGCATCCCAGGCCCTATAATAAATTGAATCTTCTCTGTCTTTTATTTTCATCGTTAGCCTGTCCATCTCTATACAATCTATTATTTTTTTTAACAACCATGCCTTCCAGTGGAACCCTTTTTTCATTCCAGAGTTGTGCGTACGCAATCCTTGCAGCTGTTAATATATGTAACATAATATATCTATCTGTTTTATTACATTTTTGTGTTATTATACCTAATAAAAAAGTTTCCGGATTAAATTCAATTTTCTGATTCGTGATTTCTTCTATCCATTGTCTAATTGTATTCCAATATTTTTTCACTTCCTGGCATGTCCACCAGGTATGAAAATAAGCGCCTTTTTCTTTTCCACATTTCCAACAATTTGGGTCTGAATTAAACATTTTTGCCAATCTAGCGGGAGGAAGGTGCCATCTGTAGAACATTTTGTATTGATTTTCCTTGTATGCTGTAGATGTAATTAGTTTGTAATTTGATCCCCACATTCTCTCCCAATTTTCCAGGTCTATATTATGGCCAACATTTTTCGCCCATACCACCATCATCTCTTTGACTACCTCCTCTTCCATTTTAAAATCTAGTAGAAAGTTATATATTCTTTAAATCATTTTCTTTTCCATTTCTTGTAGAATTTTATCTAATTGATGCTTTTCCATACAGAAACCAAATTGTTCTTTGTCCTTCTGATATCTCGCCTGGATTTGCATGTATGGCCACCAATCTATCTTTATATTTTGTTGCAGTAATTCTTGTCTCGTTTTTAATCTTCCTTGTGGGTCTAATAGATCTTTGTAACTCCTCTTTTTTCCCAGATCCATTGCATTTGGGTATATTTGTACTTCCATAGTTGACCACCAGTTCAGTATTTTAGTATAATGATTCTTTTTAATCTTGTTCCATGTCCAAATTAATGAATCTCTAATCATGTGTCTCTGAAAATATGCATACTGTTCACATTTCCCATCCCATAGGAAACTATGCCACCCTCTCTGCAAGTCGTGACCCTCTTTTGACAATACTCTTCTATTTTCCAGGTTGATCCAATCTTTAAACCATACCATAGCTGCAGCCTGATAATACATTTCCCAGTCAGGGAGTCCAAAGCCACCCCTTTCTCTTTTGTCCTGTAACAATTTCATTTTTATCCTAGCTTTTTTCCCATCCCAAACAAATTTACTTATTATTCGATCTAATTCTCTAAAAAAGGTTTTATCCAATCTTATTGGTACAGTTTGAAAAAGATATATCATTTTTGGTAGGGTAGACATTTTAATTGCCGCAATTTTCCCCAGTAATGATAGCTGTAATTTCCCCCACGTTTCCAATTCTTTTTTGATTTGTATTATTAATTTGTCATAGTTATCTTTTTTAATTGAAGAGCATCTTGCTGTTAACCAAATGCCTAAATATTTTACCTTTTTCACACTTTGCATTCCCAATTTTCCTTCTAATTCTTTTTTTTTTTTGCTTTTCTTTTAAATTTTTAGTCAATAATTTTGTTTTGTTTTTATTAATCTTAAGGCCTGCGACCTCGCCAAATTCCTCTATTTCCTTTATTAATTTTACTCCCATATCCTCTGGATCTTCCAGAAAAAATACTATATCATTGGCAAATGTCTTTACTGTAGGTCCAAATACTATATCATCGGCAACTGTCCTTACTGTAGGTCCATGTCAGGTGTATCAGCAATGTGAAGTCTTGTTCACTCTTAGTATACAACTTAATGTCATCCATGTAGAGAAGGTGACTGATGACAGTTCTGTCACTAAGCTTGTATCCAGATCCAGTCATTGTGATTATCTGGCTGAAGGAGTTCTAGTCAGAGTTTTGCAGCATTAATTCAGTGCCAGAAAAATAAACACAGATGACTGATGCTTCATTTAACATCTTTATAAACACAATAAGTAGATTTTACAAACCAGTTGTAGATTTCTCCAACATGGAGCAAACTCAGACAGAAACATGATGCAAGTAACTTCCGTAGCAAGCATTATACCCAGCAGAGGAGAGAAGTAGTTTCATTTTCAATAGACAACTTAATATAGCTGCAGAATTGCAGAGCTTAACATAGAGCCACGCCTAAGCTACTTCTAGTTTCAGTTTCCAAAACAGTCCTCATTGGCTGACTTAGTTGCTATGCCTATTCATTGGCTCACCTTGTTACCATGCTCTATTCCAGTTCATGAAAATACTCTGACAAGTTCAAGCAGCAGTGGAAATAGTGATTCAGCTGATATATGCCATATTTTATATGCCACTTGTGTGAGCTGTCTTGAGTTGACTTCCAGTATTCTACAGTCCTATTGAGTTCTTGAAGAAGTTCCTTAATGTCCTTAACTCTGCATAGTGCCAGGCATTATATATATTCTATGTTTGAGTTAGGGTATGATTGGACATGTTTGAAAAAATAAGACCCATTATAAGTAGGTTCTAAGAGTAGAAGTATGTAGAAAATCACTTGAATGGAAACCTATTCAAGACTCAACAAAAGGTAGCTGTCCAAAGAAGAAAATAGGATTCAGTATATTAGATACCATTAACTTTACAACAGAACAGGAATAACTGATTGGTGCACTAATATTGTATGCCTTGTAGAGCTTAAGAAAAGGACACACATGGGCAGGAACATCATGGTTTAAAAAAATAGATCAGGAAATGTTAAATACGAACTTAACAGCAGTACAAAAATGTCTTTTCGAGATATTTCCAGAAGAAGCACAATTTTTAAAAAGGGGAAATCACAGTTACTGTACTGATCAGTAATAAAGTTTTGCCTGTATCTCTGAAAATTGAAATGTCACTTCTGCTCCAGTCACTACTCATATCATGATGTAATTTTGGCTGCCCAACTAGAAATACAATGTATGAAGCTGACATCAGGAACCTGATTGTGGCCTGTGGCCAAGAATG